ATGGACCGCTCTCCCTTCATGGGACATGGTTTACAAACTACTTGGGAGCAGAAAGAACTCAGGCTGAGAGCCATGAATTTGGGCTGTGTCTCAACCCAACCCCTGACCTTGGGCAAGCCTTTAAAGCTCCCTGGCCAGAGCTTCCTCCTCTATAGTTGGATCTGCCAAGGCCTTTGGCTACTCTAAAATTATCTGAGCCCACTTGAGAAGTGCTTTGGAAGGAGTAAGAAGCTGGGAAAGTAATTAGGTGTTTTGTTGGTATAGGAGAGAACAGCCTGGGACCACTGCTGAGGCTATGGATGAGGGGAGCAGCTGAGGCTGACCCCCAAAGAAAGGTTGATGGTAGAGGGGGTGTTGGGAGAGAAAGCAGAACCAATGCATGCTGTGCTGTGTCTGGAGTACCAGCTTCTTAGGTGTATGGGCCTTCCCCTGGTCTCCAGTGCTGACTAGGGGCTTGCTATTCATGGACGCTGATGTAAGCATCTAGGCTTGTGTGGGGCTGGGGCGGTGGCTTTGGCAGCAGCACATACAGTACAGTACTACATGTCCTGGGATAGACCACAACTCATCTTACCAGACTCTTAATCTGTTCAGGGTGTCCTGGGTCTTCTGCACTCTCCCCCATATCCTCCTCCAGGGACCAACGTGGAGCCTCAGTGAGATGCAAGGGAGGTCGGGGAGGGAGGGAAGACACTGTTTGACTTCACAGAATTGAACTGAGTTTAATCAGAAGCTCTCAAAGCCTCTGACTGTGCCTTTCAGAGGAGAGATTGGGCCCAATGGCACAGCTGCTTCCTGGGGACTTACCTCTGGGGCCCAATGACACAGATTTTTTTCACTGACTTTGTGTCAAAGAAATTATTTTTAGCCCAAAAAGGAAGATCATAGGGCATGAAGCCATCATACTTGGTCTTTTTTACCCCAAATGGCTTAGCAGAAGGTCAAAGGCATCTTGGCACTAAGTCGTAAGAACTAGGGAAGAGGACAGATGTAAATATGTATACACACGTGCACATACTTAACTTCTATTTCTACCTAGGAGTGGAAATATACAACACTGTGAAGGTCATGGTAAACCCTCACAGTCTGGGATCCTTATCTCCTTTGGGAGCATGCAGCTCTCTCACCCTCCTCAGGATCAGAGGGTGTTTTAAGAATATTAGAAATACCACAGTCCTGGCTGGTGTTGCTCAGTGGACTGAGTGCAGACCTATGAACCAAAGGGTCACTGGTTCCATTCCCAGTCAGGGCACATGCCTGGGTTTCAGGCCAGGTCCCCAGTGTGGGGGTGGCTTGTGAGAGGCAACCACACATTGATGTTGCTCTCCCTCTCTTTCTCCTTCCCTTCCTCTCTCTCTAAAAATAAATAATCTAAAAAAAAAAAAAAGAAATGCCACAGGTAGTCGGACCCAGTCTGATTTACCCAGTATCATCACCATTGCCATCATTGTCACCCTCACCACTGCCACTATTATCACCACCATCATCATCATCACCACCATCACCACCACCACCACCACCACCACCATCACCTTCACCACCACCATTATCACCATCACCGTCATTATCACCATCATCACCATCATCACCACCATCACTACCACCACCATCATTATCATCATCATTAGTAGGCAGCACAGGAACCTGTGGAAAGGGCTGTATTCCCCAGAGGAGAAGCCTTGACTACTGCTGTTGGTCACGTTCCAAGACCTGGTTTATCCATCCAGTTTGGGAGCCCTCAGTGCTCACATGAACAGGGAGAGGCTGGGAGCAGAAGCCTCAGGGTCAGGATTATTTGGCTGAGCAGTGGTTTGCAGCTTTGGCTGAATATTAAAATTACCCAATAATTTTTTTGACTTAAAAAATTATTTTTATTGTTGTTTGAATATAGTTGTCTGCATTTACTCTCCACCACTCCCCACCTTCCCCACCTCCTTCTCCTGATTCCATCCTCCTTGGTTTTGTCCATGTGTCCTTTGTAGTTGTTTCTGAAAACCCTTTCCTCTTTTCCCCGCACTGTCCTTTCCCTGCTCCCCTCTGGTTAGTGTCAGATTGTTCTTAATTTCAATGTCTCTGGTTATATTTTGCTTGCTTGTTTGTTTTGTTGACTAGGTTCCACTTAAAGGTGAGATCATATGGTATTTGTCTTTCACCACCTGGCTTATTTCACTTAGCATAATGCTCTCCAGTTCCATCCATGCTGTCACAAAGGGTAGGAGCTCCTTTCTTTCTGCTGAAAAGTATGGAACGCTTCATGAATTTGCGTGTCATCCTTGTGCAGGAGCCATGCTAATCTTCTCTGTATTGTTCCAGTTTTAGTATATGTGCGCCAAAAAGAGCACTACCCAATAACTTTTTTGATAAAGTGTTGATGCTGGGGATATACCTTACTTCACTCAGAACCTTTGAGGAGTGGGAGAGAGATGAGTCCAAAAACCTGAGGGTTTCAGTGCTGAGAACATTGATTTAGAGGGAGTTTTATCAGGCTTTATAGAGCTTCTCTAACTGTAATGTGAAAGCAGATTGTTAGTTCTGGCTGGTGTGGCTCAGTGGACTGAGTGCTGGCCTGTGAACCAAGGGGTTTGCTGGTTCAACTCCTGGTCAGGGCACATGTCTGGCTTGTGGGCCAGGTCCTCCAGTGGGCGTGTGCAGGAGGCAACTACACACTGATGTTTCTCTCTTTCTCCCTCCCTTCCCCTTTCTCTAGAAATGAAAAAATAAAATCTTAAAAAAAACCCCAAACAGATTGTTAAAATGAGGATTCAAGTTCAGTGGGTGTGGGGCCTGAGAGTCAGCATCTCTACCATCCTCCCCTGGTGGTACTGATGCTTTGGGTGCTGCTCTCTGAGCATCTGGGTATAGAATCCCTCCAGGGTCAGGCAATCTCTTCTGCAACTCTGGAGTTAAATGGCCTCAGCTAGTTGCTATGTAATGTTGGGCAAGACATTTAGTGTCTGATTCCAGTGCTCTCATCTGTAAGATGGGGAGAAGAATAAAACTTGTTTTATAATAGCATGTAAGATTCAGTAAGTTAAGTAAGGTAAAGTAAATTAATGTTTTACATATAAAGTGCTTCAGCATTATACAGATGTCTCTCATTTGATGTTCATGTGTCTTGCTGCTTAAAGTATTTGCAGTTTCCTTGGGTTACAACAAGCTCCTGCAATAGTTTCTTTTTCCCAGAGGGTGATGGCGGGGGGATAGCTATGCAGGTAAAGGAATCAGGACATATAGGGGTTCAGGGGTTACCAAAGAAAACTTTAATGAGTAACATTCAGCTCCTTCACTAAAGGACCATGAATTCTTATTGTACCCAACTCTCACCTCTTCATAGCATTCTCCCTGGGTCAGGCAGGGTCTGAGCCCTGGGAGCACAGGGAAGATTAAACCTTGGTTCCTGCAGTCCAGGAGCCAGGAGGGGTCTGGAGTTTGAGCCTGGAGAGAAGATGTGTGCAGGGAGGGGCGAGATACCCATGGGGAGGAGCATCCCTATGCTTCCCTACGCACACTGTGGCATGGAAGGTCTGGACAAGGAGTATGTAGTTCTGGGTTCCGGTCACCCACTAGCCAGACACCTGGTGTCCTGAGTTAAGTCAAAGACTTCTCTGGACCTTCAGTCCTGAAATGTGTCTGACAGCAATGGGGGAGGTTTGCAAGTAGTCACATACGTGAAAGTGCTTGGGGAAGTATATCAATTTACAGGGCTCCTTTATAATATAAGGTGCTCAAACTTCCCATTCTTCTGAATTTGATAGGTTGCATCTGTGGGGACTATTGAGAATATATTTGTTCCTGGTGCCTGGAGGCTACCCCAGCTTTTGGGGCACAAGGTGCATGTGTACCCTGAGGCAGAAGGGTACCACCAAGAAGTGGCTTTTCTTTGTTGAGGCAGAGACAGGAAGACCAGGCTGTGGCCCAAGAGAGGCTTATCTGGCTCAGCAGAGAGGAGGGAGGTTGCTTCCTCAAAAGAATCCTTGTGAGTCCAGGGAGCCCAGGGATTGCCTCAGCTGCCCCAGGGCAGACAGCCCTGTGGTCCCTCATCGCTGTGAGCCAGCAGTGTTACCCAATCGCAAGCCTCCTCCTTAAACACGTCTCAGTCTGGTTGGAAGGGGGCAAAAGGGATAAGCTCAACCCTGTCTTCTGGCCCCATTTTCCAAATAAATTAAACTTGTCCCTTGACAGAAGTCTTAGCACAGACTAGGCCCCTACCTTGTTCTTTCTTGCTTTGTTCTCCCTGTGCCTCAGCTTCCTAGGTTTTATAAGGGGATCCCCTCAGAAGAGGTTGCCTAAGGCCACTGGGAAGCCCTGGCCCTTCTAGTTTTGGATATCTTTTTCTTGTCAGGCCACATCCCCCCTAATCTAAGGTAGCAAGGCCAGCAAATGCCTGCCCTTAAGGGGACAGTTGGATGTGTGACTTAATAAGGCTGAGAGCCACAAGTAATCCCCTAAGTACTCTGCTGTGTAACCTAAGATTATCTGGCATGCACACACCTGTTTGCACTCCTTTACTGATAGCAGTATAAAAAGCAGGCTGGTTAATGACTCTAGGAACTGACAGGGCATCTGTCCTATCTTGGAAAGATCTCCTAGTGAGCCAGGCTGCATGAGCCTGCATGCCCATGACAAGGCTGAGGAAGGAGTGGAAGGGTTCATCCAGTTTCCATCCCTACACAGTCACTGGGACCCAGCGGGAGGCTCAGTCAGGGTCAGGGGAGGAGCTGGGGGTGGGGGTCAGCTGCTCAGTCTCAATCCGGCAGTGACAGACAGTGGGTCTGTAACTCCCTCAGCCACGGCCTTGTAAGTTTTAGGAGGCTGGCAGAGTAACACTCCGGCTCCCGGCCTGCTGCTCAGGGCAGTTATGAAGACCAGGGAGGGAGATGCCACTGATACCAGGTTCACACCTCACTGCTGGAAGACAGGAGCTAGGTTGTTAGACTCTTTTGAGAAGCGAAGCGAGTGCCAACCCTGTGAAACTGACCAATCGTGTTCTAATCATTTAGAACTGCAAGTTTCTGCTTCGGGTGGCACAGAAGATGTTGGCAATTTGTTGGAGAATCATTTCTCTGCTGGAGATGCAAGTCTAGAGGAGAAGGAAAGGGCGCTTCTTGCAGAGGCGGCCCCTCAAGAGAAGAACCTGCTCCTTCACTCCCCAGATGGCAGGGAGGCTGAGAGCTCGGAAAAGACTGCCACAGGGGCCTCCACCGCTGCCCCCAGCCCAGGCTCTGATCCTGAAGCCAGCCTCTCCAATGCCTCAGCCTCAGCTGCCCCGGGGGACCCTGTGGAGCTACCAGGAGCAAACTCCTTCACTCCGGAAGGGGAGCGGGGAACTGGGGAAGAAGGGAGGCCAGAGCTCAGTTTGAGAGAGGGCCCAGCAGAGGAGGCAGAAGGACAGGCTGGGAGTGGCGTGGTCCCTGAGGAGGCCAAAGAGGTCCTAGGGGACAACCCTGTACGGGGAGCAGCTGTGGGCACTGCAGAGCCTGAAGGCACAGGGACCTTTCCTGTGGAGGTAGAGACAGCAGGCGAGGGCATCCCAGGGCCTGATCAGGGGCCAGAAAGGCCAGCTGGAGTCATGGACGTGGACATAAAAGCCAGGGAGGGGCCTGAGGACCAGGGGGAACCCAGCCCAGCTGTGGAGACAGGGGGCACCAAGGAGGACCATCCCCCAGAGGGCCAAGTGCCAGGGACGTTGGAGGAGGATTTAAAAGCTGTGTCTTCTGAGGAAGAGGGTGGTGGCCTCAGCAGAGGCGAGGAAGGAGGAGATCCATCCCAAGAAGAATCAGAAGAGGACAACGACCACGGGGCTAGTTCAGAGGAAGCAGGGGACACCTCCGAGGAAGCGGGGGAACACCAGGAAGCAGCAGGAACCCCAAGCCGTGGGGATGAGGGGGCCCAGCTGAGCTTCGATGAACTGAATCCAGGGCCTGAGGGGGACGAGGTCCCAGAGGCCGAGACAGAGGAGCCCATGGAGGGGCCTCAGGGTAGGGACACCAGAATTGCGTCAGTACTTGGGCAGCTGCATTCTTCCTGGAAGTCTTGTATGTAGGGTCAGGCAGGGACAGGGTGGAGTGGGAGAGCCCCAGCCAGCCTGGGTTTGCGGGGTGGAAGCCCAGTCTAGGGTATCTGGCCCAGCGGGTGGCTTTAGACTGCTCATGAGCTACTTCTTCCCAGTTTGGAGGGACTCAGTGACAGGCCACACCATGGAGGGCCCAGAGGAGCCTGGTCACTCTTGAGTTAGGCCCTCAGGAGTCTGCCCTTTAGGATCCATGATACAATTTAACGCCGACCAGTGCCTTGGGCTGGAGGATGAAAAACATGGTAGCAGGGTTTGAGGCCCTGTGCAGAGATGGGTGAGGGGTGCGGGCGGTGGGGCAGGAGCGCTCCTGGTGGAGAGATGTACAGGTGGGGGCATAGGTTGGGAGCCCTCCCCTGGGACCCCATTACTGGGCTGACACATGGGGCCTCCCCTTGAAGACTAGGCCATGCTAGGTGGGGTGAACTGGGACTGGGGTCAGGATTGCAATAAGAAATCTCTCTGGCTGTGACACTGATATCCTGCAGTTGTCCACCTAGGGCAGCAGCCGCTGCTGACCACAGGACTGGAGAATAGGGAAGGGGGAGGGCAGACCAAAGCCATCGGGCAACATTGGGGAGGTACTGAATCCCAGGTATGGCCAGGATGCCCATGGCCACTTCCACTGAGAATGGTGGTCTGGACCAAGAGCTGGGCATTTAGGAAGGAGAAACTGGGGTCAATCTTCACCCTCCAATGTGACTTTCCTGTGGTTTCCCTGCAGAGTTCGGTTTCCATACCTCTCATCAGCTGTTTACACCGTCCATAAGTGGAGGGCCTGCAGTTAGCCAGCCCCTCCCCTATCCCTGTTTTTCCTGTCCAGGGTCTTGGGTGGGACCTGATATGCTCCACAAGACATATAGATTCTTCTCTTTTTCCATCCCTGGTGGAATTAGTCTCCCTCTTTCCCACAGGCCCACGGCCAGGCCACTTCTGATTACTTAAAATCCTTTGTGCAGCCATTTGGGTAGAAATAGTCTCCCCGGAGACCTGCAGACAGTCCTGGGCATCTCTTGCTTGGTCAGAAGCAACAGTTGAAGCCCTCTTTCCCCAATGGCTCCTCTTGCGTGTGCTTCATGGCAGCCTTGTAAACCTGATCACATGCTCATTTGATCAGGTCAGTTTGCTTAGAACCCCTCTCTGGCTTTCAGTGCCACTAGGATGAAGTGTGGACTCCTGTGGTCCTCTCAGACCATGCATGCTAGCTCCTGTGGAGCGCTCTTGCCCCACCGCCCACACCCCTCACCCACTGAGGCCCAGCCACCCTTCCTGCTATGTCACTCCTGTCTCCTCTCCCTCTCATCGCCTAGTTAACTTCTCACACAATGGACCTCAGCTCACAGGTGGCCTCTCTGGGAAGTTTTCTGACCCCCCCACCCCATAAGACTTCTTAGGTACACTACTTAGGCCCTCAGAGCTTCTGGAATCTTCCCTCCCATGGTCCCATCACTGTTTATAATTACTGCATTACTTTTAAGATAATTTCTCCCCTCACCCCACTATACTGTAGGAAAACAGTGCAAGGTCAGGAGCTGTGTTTATTTTGGGCACTACTGTATTCCCAGCAAGATGCTTGGTGCTTGGCATATCACAAGTGCTTAATCAATATTTGCTGAATACATAAAATGGATCGTGGAGCTTCACAGAAGTTGAGTTTGGATTTTCATAGTCCTCCCTAGAGATGGAACTCCATTCAGTTAAACTTGGCAAGCCCTCTGTCAGCGCTTCTTCAAGGCCCCTCCTGTGCTGTCTGTGTTGAGAGGGGCTTAGAGCCCAGCTGGCTCTTAGCTTAGCTCTAACCCTGCTTTCTGCTTCCATCTCCAGAAGAGGCAGAGGATGTGAGTGAAGAAGCCCCACTGAGGGACCGCTCCCACATTGAGAAAACTCTGATGCTGGATGAGGACAAGCCAGCTGACGATTATTCTGGTAATCAGAGGAAGAAGGAGCCGGGCCTTGGGCTGGGGCTGGGAGAGCCTTCAGGGCTAGGGCTCTGAGGCCAGTGGACACCCCAGAGAGGAAAGCCCTGGAGGTAGGGGGCTTGGCAGAGGAGGCTCTGCAAGCAGTGTCCAAGGCCTAGGGGCTCTGGATTGGCAGGGAGGAGGAAAGGCAGTCCAACCAGAGGGACCAGGGAAAGGGTAAGAGGACAAATCCCAGTGCTGTGTCTGAGGATGGTGCCAGCCTCCGCACTGTGTCTGAGGAGCGGCATTAATAGAGTTTATCACATTTGCTTTGATTTTTTACAGTTTATAAACCCCTTTTATGCCCGATGTTTCATTTTACCCTCATAATGATCCAAGGCTTTCAGCAGAGCTTACTCTCTCCTCTTAGTTGAGTTAGTGAAAGCTCAGAGCAAGGCAGAACTTGCTATGGTGCACAGCTAGAGAGGCTACCCCAGGTGTGGGCTCTGACCCTCAGGCCCTCTTCCCCACTCTGTACCTCACACCCTGCTTCACACCCTTTGAGCTCCCAGCCTCGCCCCTGTGAGTCACTTCTCCCTGGAGTCATGCATGCTCTTCCTAAGAAGACATTTGGCACTCTGCATCCTTCCTGGGGCACCAGGGAGTGTGGCTAGGGGCCAGGGTTGCCATCCTGTGGGCTTGCTTAGTGCCATGCCTCCTTGCCCTCTGAGCCTGAGGCCAGCAGAACTAGAGATGAGGGCAGAGAGAAGGAGATGGGGTTCTTCTCTGCAGTTTAAAGGGCCTTCAGTTAGCTGAAGGCTGACGTGGTGTTTCAGGGCACACTACTGAAGAGAGGGAAGAGAGGGTTAGATTAAAAAGAAATATCCCAGGAGACTTTGGGGGATGCAGAGAGAATGCCTTGGGTTTAAAGACTTCTGAGGGTTGGGATGTGGACCAGCTCCCTCCTTGAATGCTAATATATGGACAGTTGCCAGGCTATAAGATGTTCTCTGCTCCCCACTATGGTGGGCTGGAGCTGCCTTGGGAAGTGACCTGGCCCACGGTGGTCAGCAGTCTGTAGCACCCCTTACCTGATGCTCTGCTTTCATCCTTCTCTGTCCCCAGTGGTCCTGCAGCGGCTTAGAAAGATCTACCATTCGTCCATCAAACCCCTGGAGCAGTCGTACAAGTACAACGAGCTCCGGCAGCACGAGATCACAGGTACAGCTTGTGTCCCAAGGTTAGGCCTGTGCCTCCAATATGTCTGCGCTCCCCATGTCCGTGAGCGCCCTGAGCTGCGTATGTGGTGGGCTCAAGGACACTGGAGCTGAACTCAGGATCCTAAGTTCTTGGAGACCTCAGTCACGTGAACCATCCTTTCACTGCAGGAGTACCCCAAAACTTGCACAGGGTTTTCTAGAGGGCATTTCATTTGTAAGCACTCCTGCTTCAGTAGCACAGCTTTGGTTTCCAAGGGCAGTGATGCCAGTTTCTATCCCTTGTGTGCTCAAAGGCCCGCACAGCTCCCTGTGCTCACACTGATCACATCTTAAGTGCCCTGATTGGCCTGGAATCCTAACCTCCTCCCGTGAACTCCTCTTGGTTGGCTTCCCTCAGGCTGGATTCTTTTAAAAATTGATTTTCAGAATAATAAAATATGGTGTACTTGTTGCCAAAAAAAATCCCCCAAATTCAAATAGTATCAAGTAGTATACAATGAAAAGTAAAATCCCCTTTCTTGATTTCCATTTCCTCCAGTTTCATTCCCCAAGACTCCCACTGTTATGGTTCCTCATGAATACATTTCCTCTGTATACATGAGCATATATAAGCTTGTCTTTTCCAGTTTGTTTTACAAAGATGGGATGATGCCACAAAACTCTGTGTGTGTAGCTCCTCCTGCCCTTTCTGATGCCTGTGTGGATGCATTGCACTGGAAAACCACGTAGTGATAGAAAATGGGGTGTTTGCCATTTTTCATTTTTAAGGATATTATAAGCATTATTATAATTGCTGCATATTTCACACAGGTATATTTGTATGATAAAATTTTAGAAGTGGAACACTAGAAATTAAACATTTTGATGGTGGTTGCCAAATTGTCTGAGGTTGTACCAATTTGTACCCACAATGACAGGATATGAGGGCTCTTATTTCCCCACACTGATGTCTTTTTGAAGTGTTATTCATCTTTGAAAACTTTAATAATGGTATCTACTTGTTTGAATGGTGAGTGGTATTAACACGTCTTTTTATGTTAATTGGCTCCTTCTGTATTATCTGCTGTGATGCTCTTGGTGATTGTAAAGCAGATAGGGTATTTCTTCCCTATACATTCTCCCTGCTTTCCAGAGGAAGGACCAGATGCCCAGAGAAATGCTGGGCTAACCAGGATCATATAGGGAGATGAGGGCTGTTACTCTCTCCTTTCCAAGAGAACACTGTTTCAGTTATCTCTTTTGTTTTGTGCAAGTCTAAGAGCCAACGATGCTCTTTGGCTTCAGAGTCTCCCAGTTGCTTCCCTCTACTTCCCTCTTGCCTGGTCCTGCAGCCGTCAGAACTAGCAGCTTGGCCCTGAGGCTGTGGGCTGCCCCAGGAATAGCGCTTAGTAGGGAGGGCGTCCTGACTCCTGACCTTGCTTTCCAGGCTTGGCTCATCTCCCCTTCTCTCCCACCACTACTGGGACTCCACTGTGCCCTTGGGCAGTCTCCTGCAAAACCTCTGCTCCTCTCTTCTCAGTGTCTCACCTGTGGCCTCCTGCATGTGCCAGTAACGCCCCCTGCTGCAGAGGGTTGAAACAACAGCTCAGGAAAGCCTTGGTGGTGATTTGTCTCAGCAAAGGCTGAAAGTCCAGGTCCCTTTGGCATGTCCTGCCTGGGTGGGGGTAAAGCAGATTTTTTTTATAGGATCACAGTGTTATCATTGGGAATTCCCACCACCCCCTTTACCTGCCTATTTCTTCCTGTCCCCGAGCCAGGGTTTGATACCCATAGAGATGCCAGCGACTCATGGGGCAGGATCATGGTGTTGCTTTCAGGCAATAAATATGTGTCTGCCACTTATGAGATCCCATCCTGGTTTTCTAGGACTTGGTTCCACCTTAAAGAAAGAAAGCTAGTACATCAATAAACAATGTGCAGAAAAAGAATACCATACTCCTCTTTCTATAAAAAAGATGGAGAGCCCGCTACGCTCTCTAATGTTGCTTATAAATGCATGGAAATATCTGAAAGAATATGTAGGGGTTGTTGTGGCCTAGGTAGACTGGAAACAGGGATGTGAGACTTCTCACTTTGTGCCTTACTATACTTTGATTTTAGACCCAAGAAATTAAATACATTAAAACAGAAAAAATAAATGGAGTGCCTACTGTTTTGAGGCCTATCTGCCAGGCTCAGGGAGACAAAGAAGTCTGGAGAATTTTACATGCTAAATTATATAGGACTGGCCCTATGTGACTCAGGGAAGGGTTGAAAGATCTGGGGCCTGAAAGCCGGTACAAGGGTGATTGCATCTTGTCTCGAAAGCCTCTCCCCTTCACCTTCCTGACTGCTGGTTTGGAAAGCACTGGGACCCCAGCTGGAGTGGTCTATGCAGAGAGCTCTCTCTAACATTGGGCACAGGGCCCAAGGACCCACAAATTGCCTGGTCAGTGCTTGGTCTTGGGACCTGACAAATATGTCATGGACTTTGGAGGCTAATTGGATACTGGCCCCAGACCTCAGCGTCAGGCTGAGCCTGAGGTGGGATTTAAGAGGCACAGCTAAGGGGATGGAGTCTGGCCGCAGGCAGCATCAGAGTCCAGGCTGCCCAAGATTGTATAAGCCTTCCTCAAACCCTTTTTTTTTGTTACCAGTCAAGATAGCAGAGTTTTCACCGTTCCCCATGTGGCAGCTGTCTGCTCTCCTTTTATGAACTGTTCTTTCCCAGATCTAAACCAGGAGGCCTCATTCAGAGTGAGCTCTGCGTCAGTGTCTGTTGATTTCACTTAGTGCCTCCTTCTGGTGCTAGTGTGCTGAGGATCTGTGCAAGGCCCAAACGGTGTCTTCTGGTGTTTTCTTAATTGAGAGATTGCACCTGTGTAGCAAGAGGTGTGCTGATCGCTGGTCAATACCTGCTACTGACCACTGATCGCTACCTGCTATCTGGTCCAATGTAGAATTCCACAACCCAGTTAGACGGACTGGGATACAGCATGAAGAACTGTGTCACTCCTGTAGTGAGAAACTTTGTTCCATCTCTAACTCCTGCTGCCCACAGATGGGGAAATCACTTCTAAGCCAATGGTGTTGTTTATCGGACCGTGGAGCGTCGGTAAATCCACCATGATAAACTACCTCCTTGGGTTGGAAAACACTCGCTACCAGCTTTATACAGGTAAAAGTGAGATTTTTTGTGTGTGACTCTTGGTACTTCAATGTAATGTGTAGAATCACTATGAAAACATCAAAACATTTATATGTATCTTCAATATAATAATGAATATTGCATACAAGAAATATTGCATACCAGAAGCTACATTCCTGTTGGTAGCAGCATTATTCACAATATGTAAGAGGTGGACAACCCAAATGTCCATTGATGGATGAATGGATAAACAAAATGTGGTTCATCCATATAGTGAAATATTTTTTAAATGTATTCTTAAAAATGATATTACTTATTTATTTTTAGAGAGAGGAAAGGAGAAAAGGAGGGAGAGAAACATCAATGTGTGGTTGCCTCTTGCATGCCCCACCAGGAGCCAGTCCACAACCCAGACATGTGCCCTGACTGGGAATCAAACCAGTGACCTTTGGTTTGCAGGCTGGGGCTCAGTCCATGGAGCCACACCAGCCTGGGCCATACAGTGAAATATTATTCACCCCTAACAAGTTATAAAGTTCTGATACATGCTGCAACATGGATGAAACTTGGGGATATTATGCTCAGTGAAATAAACCAATTTGTCACATGACTCCACTTATGTGAGGTCCCTTGGGTCATCAAATTCATAGAGACAGAAAGTAGAGTGGTGGTTGTTGCCAGGGGCTGGGGAAGGTAGGAATAGGAGTTAGTGTTTAATGGACATGAGTGGGTTTGGGGTGATGAACACGTTCTGGAGATAGATGATGGTCATGGTGGACATAAATGTACTTAATACCACTGAACCGTACATGTAAAATGGTTAAAATGGTACATTTCATGTTACATATATTATCACAGTTAAAAAAGTCACTAGCTTAGCAAGCATAATATCCGATTCTTGTGGCAAACCCTCTCTGAAACACCTTGCTTACCCACTGTGTGTAGTTCTCTTCCCCAGAGCTGACTGTGTTCCTGCTAACCTTGTGCCTATGTGTGCAGGCGCTGAGCCCACCACCTCTGAGTTCACGGTCCTCATGCATGGGCCCAAGCTAAAGACCATTGAGGGTATTGTCATGGCTGCTGATAGTGCCCGGTCCTTCTCACCCCTCGAGAAGTTTGGCCAGAATTTCCTGGAAAAGTTGATTGGCATCGAAGTTCCACACAAACTTCTAGAGCGGGTCACTTTTGTGGATACACCAGGCATCATCGAGAACCGCAAGCAGCAAGAAAGAGGTAATTTAGCCCTCATATCTGACATAGGGTGAGCTTTATTTTAGAAAACTATTTTTTTTTAACAGTGGATGATAGACAGTCAGGGGAGAGGAAATGTGGCCAGCCTTGTCCAACACCAGGGGATGTGTTCTCTGCTTCCAGCCCCTTCTTGTTGTCACTGTGGTGTCACTTAGGTGTGGAGTACCTTGTCCTTTTACCTCCCCAAGGATTGATCTGGTGGAGAGGTGATCATTTTTTCCCAAGAGGAAACAGATGTTCTCTGTAAGTAGCTCTTCAGGGTCCATACTGGGCCTGAGCTGTCTTTGGGAGACCCAGGTTGTCCTGGCTAATTAAGAGCCTAGAGTAGTTGGATCCCAGTCCAGGTGTACTTGACCTTTGGCTAACATGGGCCTGGGTTGAACCTGACCTTTAATTCTTCCCGCTCTACCAGGCCTGCTTCAACATAAGCTTGTAACAAAAGCCCCACTTGCCTTCAGGTGGCAGGGAAGTGGCAATTTGTGCCCAGCAGGCACTAGACTATAATACGGGCCACTGAGAGTCACCATGACCCAAGGTTATCTGCAGAGAATGAGTCATAACGGCATTTGTAGGGTATGTGACCGGAGATGACAGATCTCAGTTAATGGCTATCACTCCCATTTTGGTTATAACCAGACACTGTTTTATGGCTAGTAATAATATTATCACTAACAATTATAATAGTAAATTAACTTTTATTATGCTCAAGTACGTGTAAGATAATGTTACGCATTATTGGTTAATTTTGTAAAAAATTCCCAAGAGAGGTATTCCTAGTCTCCTCATTTTGGAAAGAAGAAGTTGAAGGAATGAAAATGTATTGAGCACCTACTATGTGGCAGTTTTAGTTAAGTGCTTTCCTATATTTGTAGCAACACAGCGATCTTTATATCAACTCAGGCTCCATAGTTCTTCTTGTCATTTTGTAGCTGAAATGTTAAAGCTTAGAGGCATTTAGTACTCAGCTGGCTGCTGACAAAGCCCCAGTTCCAGTCTGGGTCTTATGCCTGGACACTTCTTTCCCCTAAACGATGGATCCTCTCTTTTTACAAAATTTTTTATTAAAATAAAAAAAGTTTCAATTACAGTTGACATACAATATTATACTAGTTTTAGATGTATAAAATAGTGATTAGATGTTTATATAACTAATGAAGTGATCACCCCAATAAGTCTAGTACTGATGGATCCTCTTTCACATCCTTCTAATTCCCTGACTTCTTTCCTTCAATATCTTCACCAATGCCCCAGATCCTTTTGTTATTATTTTTTAAAGATTTTATTTGTTTACTTTTAGAGAGGGGAAGGGAGGGAAACATTAGTGTGTGGTTTCCTCTCATGTGCCCCCCACTGGTGACCTGGCCCACAACCCAGGCATTTGCTGTAGACTGAGAATGGAACCGGTGACCCTTTGTTTCACGAGCCAGCACTCATCCACTGAGCCACACCAACCAGGCTGCCCCACATATTTTTAGACAGTAAGAAAATCTCCATTTCAAAAAAGCATTTTGGTCCCCTGGAGACTTGGATTCCATTTAGATTAAAGCAAGGATCAGGCTGTTCTTGGTTGAAGGTTGACAATGGCCAGGAGATATGCAGTTAATTCTTTCAAAGTATTTAGAAGACCAGAACATCTTTAATGCTGTTGTTTCCTTCAGTCTGTGGAGTGGTTTGGTTCTGGCAAGAGGCACAAGGGGCTTGGGCTAATGCTTGCTCAGCCTGACTTCTCACTCCCTCTCCCCAAGGTTACCCCTTCAACGATGTGTGCCAGTGGTTCATTGACAGAGCCGACCTCATCTTTGTCGTCTTTGACCCAACCAAACTAGACGTGGGTCTGGAGCTGGAGATGCTATTCCGCCAGCTGAAGGGGCGGGAATCCCAGATAAGGATCATCTTGAACAAGGCCGACAACTTGGCCACACAGATGCTCATGCGGGTCTACGGGGCTCTCTTTTGGAGCTTGGCCCCACTCATCAATGTCACTGAGCCCCCAAGGGTCTACGTCAGCTCCTTCTGGCCACAAGACTATAAGCCCGATACCCACCGGGACCTGTTTCTCAAGGAAGAGATCTCCCTCCTGGAAGACCTGAACCAGGTGATTGAGAACAGGTTGGAGAACAAGATTGCCTTCATCCGCCAGCATGCCATCCGTGTCCGCATCCATGCCCTCTTGGTTGATCGCTATCTGCAGACATACAAGGACAAAATGACCTTCTTCAGTGATGGAGAGCTGGTCTTTAAAGACATTGTGGAAGATCCTGATAAATTCTATATCTTCAAGACCATCCTGGCAAAGACCAACGTCAGCAAATTTGACCTTCCCAACCGTGAGGCCTATAAGGACTTCTTTGGTATCAACCCCATTTCTAGTTTCAAGCTCCTGTCCCAGCAGTGTTCTTACATGGGGGGCTGCTTTCTGGAGAAGATTGAGCGGGCCATCACCCATGAGCTCCCAGGCCTCCTGGGAAGCCTGGGGTTGGGGAAGAATCCAGGTGCTCTCAACTGTGACAAAACAGGGTGTGGCGAAACCCCAAAGAATCGCTATAGGAAACACTAGGTTGTTGTGTGGCCATTTTCGGGTTCCTGTTGGTGAATGAGCTTGTGTCCTAACTGTCTGAGAAGTCCTGGTTTATTAGCCCTTTGAGCCACACTGACAAGAGTCATCAAACATTGGAGATTTGGGAGTTGAGGCCAGTGGTGGGGGAAAGTGTGGGTCGAGGGAGGAGACTGGAAACTGTGAATTATAGTGTGCTTGTCTCACTGCTTCAGTTAGGGGGCCTGACTGAGGCAAGTCAGGCCACACTTGCTTTTCCTGGGTCCTATCTTGGAGGGACAAAGAGCAGCTAAATTTTAGTGTCTACTGAATTAATGAGCATTAAATAAGCTAAAGGCAGGTGAAGTCTTTTTCACCCTATAAGCTGACAAAAGAGAAGACTTGAGTTCTGTAGGACTGCCCAGGTCCATGGTGGCTGCCTTTCACACACAGTCTTCTGTTTGTCCCCCAGCCCTCAGCTGTCTCCTAAACTTGGGTTGACTTAAACAGGGCACAATCTCTTGGGCCTGAATCAACCTGGGTTCTGAGCCTACCCCCAGGCTCTCTTCCCTGTTTCCTCCAGGGATAGGGGTAATGGGTTAGGATACCAGAACACTAAGAAAAAAATAAGAGTTCCCATGCTAAGAGAAGGATCTGCCTCCCCCATGCCATTTCTCTGATGTGGTCTTCTAAGCCAGCTGGGAAGCTGGGGTCCCTTTATTTGCCCAGAAAGGAGGGTCAGTGTTCTGTGTATTCAGGTAATTCACTGGAAGCAACTTCAGTGACTGTACTGGAAGGGCTCAGAGGGTTAATTGGTTTGCAGTGTGTCTTTGTCTATTGCATGTCTTGGAAAACTTGGACCCCAAAGGCATTGGGTTTCAGAAAGGACAGTGGAGACCTTGCTCCTTTTCACCGGGGACTTCTCTGGGCAGTCCACCTCTCCAAATGTAAGAGGAGGCTGTTTCTACAACTTCTCTGTGGAGGCATTCAGCAAAAGAATCGTTCCTTCCTGGTTTTCATCAATGTGGCTTTTCCTTTCCCTTCTTCTCCATTCCCTGATGTGCCAACACTCAAAACTCACAGGAGTCAGAACCAGCACCAGCCACTCAGTGTCAGTGGCAACCAAGGCTTAACCTTCAGTTTCCTACTTGAACTTGATGCTGATACCCACTGGATGCACCGCAGGAAAGCCTGGGCCTTCAAATACCAGTAAGTGTGGATATGTGTGTATTATGTTGTCCAAGAGAGATTAGGGAAATAGCAAATGCCAGAGGGCATAGCGAGAGAACTTGTGAGAGTCCTGCCTGGCTGGTGTGCCACCCTGGAGGGTAGTGAGGGACAGAGGATGGAGGAAGGACCCTGGAAGGAAGAAGCCATTTGACGAAAAGTGGGTGAGTGAACAGTCTGTGCAAATCCTGGAGACCTGGCCCAGGGCTGCTCTCAAGGCTGCCTGCTTGGGAGCTTTACCAGGAGGCATGGGTCAGGACCTGCCAGCATCAGGAAGCCATCTTGGTGCAGAAGGAAAGTGAAAATGAAGGCAGAGGAAGAGCACTCAGGATTAGGCAGTGGAAATAGATTGGCAATCAGATTAGGTCCATGCGGAGAACTGCAACTTCGGAATTCCTGTTTCTCAGAGTTATTAGCACTGTGGTGCATGCTGCAGAAGAGGCTGCTACTTTTGGTTTTGTGGAGGACCTGGAACCTCCCACAAGCAAGCCAGAGGTCCCAAAGCCTCCAGGACATTGTTTCTAAGGACAGAACCAACCAGAAAAGAAAAAGAGTCTGCTAGGGGTCTCCAAGGAGCCTGGTGACAGGGCCTGATGATCTGCTTTTCGTCTCATCAAGAACCAACCCTTCATCTCTCTGTCATTTACCCTCTCGAGAGTCTGCCCTCCCTCCCGAGAGTCTGCCCTCCCTCCCACCTTGCTCCTTAATGCCCCTTAATGCACTTCAGCTCCTCTTGGCATATCTGTGTTTCTCAGTGCAGTAGGGGAAATAAAATGTACAGAACTATATGGGCATTGTCATAGCTGCCGATGTCACCATTGCTTTGGAGGAAGAAGGTGGAATAAGGCTAATACATTCACACAATATTTATTATTTTCAGGAGGTGACGTTATCAGTGTGATTTCCCCCCTTTTCTTTTATCTACCCATTTTCCTTTTCTTACTCCCGTTCCTCTGCTCACTCTTTGACTTACCGTTTTTCTAACTGCCCGCAGGCTTGTCCACCAGTCAGCTTGGACTTTAAGAGCTGTTTGGTGCCCCACTGTGTGAAAGTGGATTTTAAGCAGAATTTTGACTTTTTTAGGGGTGGGTGGATGGGTGGGTTGAGAGCTGGGAGAAATTTAGGATCCAGAGATCTCTCAAGAGGAGTATCTGTAACTATTTGTGCCTAAACAGTTGCTGTTTCTCTCCAAAGTGGAACCTTTCCGGTGTTCTTTCCATTCTGATTTCATCAGGGAGAAAGTCTCAATAAAGTTCCAATCTCTCTTTAACATCTTGTACTTTGATTGTATCCAAGCAGTTCTATCTCTTTGTCTTCCTTCATATCTAGTAGAGTGTACTAATTTTTATTAAGACCTTTTTAGAGGAGTTTTAGGTTCACAGCAAAATTGAGAGGAAGGCTGAGATTTCCTATGTACCCCTCCTCCCACATGCACAGCCTCCCCCACCATCAACACCCCACAGAGTAGGACATTTGTTACAATCAGTGAACCTACATTGCCCCATCATTGTCACTCAAAGTCCATAGTTTTCATTAGGGTTCACTCAGATGTTGTATGTTCTGTGGGTTTGGACAAATGTATAATGATGTGTATCCACCATCATAGTGTCACACAGAGTAGTTTCACTGTCCTGAAAATCCCCTGTGCTCCACCTGTTCATTCCTCCTGTCTGCCCCCACCTCCATATACTAATTTTTAATTAGGGGATAGATTGAAAATTTATAATTGGCTTCCTTTGCCCCTCCCTGCCTTCTTTTTCTATAGGACAAGGAACAGTTTATTCTCACAACCGAGCCTCTGATAGCAGCAGAGGCAGCCCCCTCCCATCTGTAGCCCCCTCCTTTTGGTGTGGCAGCCTCAGGTGGGCCAGGTCAGGAGCCAGGGTGACAGCAAGGACAGCAGCCCCTGCCCCCTCCCACCACTCACCATGGAAGCCAAGGAAGCCATGGAAGCCTTGGAAGCTGGGTTGGCCACGGAGTGCAGTGGGTGGCAGCAGCAGATTATGGAGGGGGACAGAGTGTTAGTTGGGCTGGCTGATTCCCATCCCCTGGTGAGTGGTGGTTGGTGAGGGCCTGGCCGGGGGGCTGGCCTGTGAGGTGGAGCCATCTGGAGAGGCTCATTTGGCTGTGAAGGTGTAGCTGGAAATGTCATCCAGGAGACAGCCAGTCGAGGCTGGGCAGCAGGTTATCCTCAGTGACGGAGCTGTAGCCCTAGATGCACCAGTTGTGGCTGTAGATGGAGTCTGGCTCTGGGGCCTCGTGCATGGCCTTAGAAGATAGTGCTCCAGACAGGTCCTGCTTGTTAACAAAGGTGAGGAGAGTGGCTCCAGCTAGGCACTCTTTCACCAGCACTGAAGCTCCCACTGGCAGTCCCACAGGCGCTGGAGGTGGGTGCCATCCACCACCCAGGTGACGCCGGTAGTGTTCTCAAAGTAGTTCTGCCAGTAGGGGTGCTGGGACTTCTGGCTGACAACATCCCAGAGGTTCAGCTTGAAAACTTGAATCCCTGGGGCTCCAAGGTCTTGATGTTGAAGCTGAGTGTCAGGGAGATGGTGTTGATGTTTTTCCCATTGAACTTCTTGAGGACAGTTGTTTCACCGGCATTGTCCAGCTGAGTATGAGCAGCTGTAGCTCTCACTCTTTTTGCATCACCTTCTTCAGGATGGTCAGAAGGCCCATGTTCCTGAAGCCCCCTCTCTGTGGCCGTTTCTTCCCAGTCCTGAGGCCTGCCTTCCTTTCAAGTTTCTCAGTGTCAAAGATGACCTGACCCCTCAGTTGGCTATGAAACTAAGGCCAGCTGTTGTATAATGAGTGATAAGCTTGAAGAAAAACTTTCTTGAATTTGTCATTCTTCCTGGTCTCTGTTGCAATTGTCCATTATTAGTAGTTACTGAAATCTATCCCAAATCTCTCGAAGAAGCAGCTCAGGATGTCACACTATTTGGTCCATACCCTCAGCCATGCATCTGCCCACTTGTGGTGGAGGGAGTGCCTGCCCTGAATGCAAGGATGGCCCCTCCCCTTGGCTTCTGTAGGAAGTGGTGCCTCCATAGCATAATGTGGGCCTCCTGCCCATTTTTGTCTTTAAAGAAACCTGAACTTGTCCTTGTCTTCCCAAGCCTGTGCCCTTCAGAGCAGAGCTCCTTTATTTTGAAGTTTTACCTCTGGGTTTCTCCTGAGGATATTACTCCCAATTCCCACCCTACCTCCCCTTCCCCCACACACTTGAGAGCATGTTTCTGAAAAGGAAAAGAACTGGGTTCTGGGAGCTGGTAGGAGACTGGACCACCATGCCAGAGAAGATGCCAGATTCAGTGACATGGCCACTGTCCTGGGCTTTCCTGTTAGAAGGGGCTGCTCTTAGGGCCTGATGAGTAGGGCAGTGCAGTTCGTTTCCTCCCTCAATCCTGTTCTCCTCATAACTGGGGTCCACAGCCCACTGAGCAACAGAGCAAGCTGACCTGAGACCACTGTCGCCCACGCACGCCTGCCCCAGTTTACCTCTCCTACTCATGACTGCAACTGGCATTTCCCCATGACTAGGAGACATAAGGAGCTTTGCCCTGGAAGGGGAAGGTAGGTTAGATCTATTTTGAGGATAGATATTAAAAGTATAAGGAAAAACATAAATGAAAGCAGAGACATGAGTTTGCCTGTAGCAAAGGTGTGTTCAACAGATTCTGAGGAATTCCCTGTGCCCACCCCTCATCCAAATGATAAAAGAACATGTATAAATTAGCATTTTCTTTGTCTGCCTGCACTGTGGAACATGCTCTTTGTTTTCGCAGAATGTCTGTGGGGAAAGGAACCAGCTTCTAGAATACTCCTTTGTGCCAGGAACTGGGCTGTAGATCTATAGACATTACCTCATATATACCTTAAGGTAATGGGATAGTTCTAACAGTTATGCCCCAGGCCACACATTGAGTGCTTTGTGTGCACTATGTCATTTAATCCTCTCAAGAGCCCTCTAGGGAGGGAGGCATCCAGCCCTGACAAGAGCACAGACTCACATTGTCCCAGGCTCCACCACTTACTAGCTGGGCAGCCTTAGACAAATGGCTTAACGTTTCTGTGATTCAGTTTCCTCATCCATAAAATGGAGATGTCAATTACCTTCTCATGGGGCTGTTGTCAGGATTAAATGTCTTAATATATGCAACATGCTTGAAATAGTTCACAGCCCACACGAAGCATTCAGTAAATGTTATTACCATTGTTCATATTTTACTACTGCAGAGACTGATGGTCAGAGTGGTTGAGATGATAGTAAGTGTAAGTGGGAGGGTCAAAATTCTAACTGCTGTCCAGCAGTCCATACAGGTCATACTAGGTTACTTGCCCAGGGTCACATTAGGTGACACTGGTCTTCCTGATCCCAAAGCCTTTTCCCTCCTCTACACAAACTGGCAAAAATTTAGAACTGCCTGATTTTTGAAATAGTTGCTCAGCACTTTGAAACCTGTCAAGTACCAACATTTAAATCATTTAAAAGTAATTTTCTTTTTTTTTAAATTAATTAATTTATTTTTAGAGAGGGAAGGGAGGGAGATAGAGAGAGAGAGAGAAACATCAATGTGCGGTTGCTGGGGGTCATGACCTGCAACCCAGACGTACTCCGACTGGGAATCGAACCTGCGACACTGGTTCGCAGCCCGTGCTCAATCCACTGAGCTACGCCAGCCAGGGCTAAAAGTAATTTTCTTTAGAAATGTGCACCCTGGCTGGTGTGGCTCAGTGTATTGAGTGCCAGCCTGCGAACCAAAGGGTCCCTGGTTTGACTCCCAGTCTAGGGCACATGCCTGGGTTTCAGACCGGGTTCCCAGTTAGGGGCATGTGAGAGGCAACCACACGTTGATGTTTCTCTCCCTTTCTTTCTCCCTCCCTTTCCCTCTCTCTAAAAATAAATAAAATAAATAAAAAATAGAAATGTTACTGAGGATTATTTCCTGAACAAAAAAATTATTAAACTTAAAAAAATCACAACTCCATTCCACATTTGATCTTCACCATAATCATCTCTCTCTCTCTCTCTCTCTCTCTCTCTCTCTATATATATATATATATATATATATATATATATATATATATATAAAAATTAATAATCTAAATCGAAGGGGAGGAAACTACATCACCAGAGAAATTGTTCAAGTTCATTCAGCTGGTACATGACAAATCAAACTAAAAGGCCAGTTTTCCACCCATCTCACTATTTCTAAATTCAGTCATATTGATTTGTGTTAATCTGGAGCCTGGACCAGTACATTTTTCTGACACACTAAAAAGAATGATTTTGTATTTGTGAAGAATGCAAAAATATGTTTTTGACATACTTCCATTTTCTTCAAACTTATGGATTTTTCCCCCCACCACAACTTCAAAAGGTTCAGAATTTTTACATGTTTATTCAGGCACAGTCTCTGCCCTCGGGGAGCAAACAGTGCAGTGAGGGATGTAAGGCATGGAACTGGGGTGATCAGGGAAGTCCTTAGGGATAAAGGGACCACACTGTCCAAATCATAAGTCAGAATCCATGGTCAGGCAGAGGATTTTCTTTCTCATTCGCGAGTGTAATTATCTGAGAAGACTGACCAATGCATATAGACTGTTAAATTTATTTAAACATTTACTTCGACTATTTTTGTTGAGGAGAACCCACTTAACATCAGGACTCTTCTGAGAATACTGACATCCAGGGGGTTACCAAGCTTGGGAAGGGGGTAGAATTCTAGCTACACTTCAAGGATGGGCAGATTTGGGAGGTCAGAGACCAGGGGGATGGATCCTGGGGGAAGAAGATCAAGGGCCCAGACTCAGGGAAAGGAAGACCTCTGTGTGTGGCAGTTGAGTGGTCAAGGTAAGATGAGGTAAGTTGGGGGAAAACCAGCCCTTAAATGGGAGCCCAAGGAGTCTGGGGTCCAGGCCACTGCAAATTTCTGCAAGGAGAGGACCGTGCAAAAGCAGGGAAAGATCTGGCAACCTGGATGCTGACTGGAGCAGTGGGGGCTTGGCACCAAGGAGCGTATTTTGGCAATGCTGAGTGCCCCTTGGGCAGGGCCCCTCAGATCCATGATCTGCATGCAACCTGCTGGGCAAGGGGCACTGGATTTCTGTCCTGTCCACTCCAAGGAGCTGGGAACCAGCTGCTGGAGCCTCTTAAGGAGGTGGTGGGAAGAAGCCCACCTTATTAGTCTGGCTCCACTGTTGGGCCCTGGACCCCCACCAGCCCCGTGCTGACCCAAATCTGTGTCTCTCCTCTGGACCCCTATG